CTAAACTAAACAGGGGTGGTTAGGGACTAGAATAGATCGCGAACGGAAAAATTGAAGAATTGAGGCCAAAGACCTGCCAAGTGCCTTTAAAGCAGCCCATCAGTTCACCGGCCTCAGGCGAAACAGCGGTAAATGATTCTACTGAATTTGTGATATTCAAACGCGAAGTTCTAAGTAACCTTTTTATCGTCGTTGGAAGGGAATTGAAAGTCGACAATAATAAGGTTGCGCTCAATGCAAGTAATTAATAATTATCCTCCTTATCCGGGAGTGCGACAGATTAGGATCGTTTCCGATAGCGTTTATCACGAAACTGCCAAGGAATCTACTTAGTTTCATGTTTCTCAGACAAAGAGACCCCACGTGTAGACTATGGTTGTCAGTTTTGTCATTCGTTCGATCAATTTCAGACTTCTTTAGACAGAATGCATGAAAATCGCGTTTTATTTGCGTGGTAAAGATGTAACACGAGTAACGAAAGATCTTACCAGCTAGGAACGTAACTTAAGTAGTAGAGAAGAAATTTCTGAAAGAATTTTCATTCCTTTATAATAAATAAGCAAACTTGAAAGGGAATTTAGCCCCTGACTATATCGCGATACCACTGCGGTGTTATTGCACACCTGCTTCCGACGAGGTTTGGCTGTGCTGTCTCCACATTGGATTGCGGAGTCTGAAAAACGGAACGGAAAGGTTACTCTGTTCATGAACTAGTATGTCGAATCTCAGTTACGTTTGATGTTAGTCTGCAATCCTTCTAAAACAACCTTAACACACCAAATACATATGTATCTGACTGTTACACGTTGAGGTTTGCAAAGGAGCTAAAATGCTTGTAAAATCGTGCCGATTTGAAAGATCAAGCCAACATAATTTAGGTTTTTAAAAGACAAAGTCACCTCAAGAATATATTCCAACCGATTTTTTTGTGTGTGTCCGGTAAAGGCATGATGGGGGTCTTGCGTGGGACGTTTCTTTTTTCTCCGTTAAGTTGAGATAGACAGTCGATACCTGCATGATCCTTCGCTTTTCGTCTTAAAGCGTAACCAAATTCAATATCATAACGGAAAGTAATTATCAAAAATAAATTGATGTGGTGTTAGCTGTAGATGGTTTGGCTTGTTTGGCAAACCCCACCGCGTCAGTGGATATACTGAAACCTGAGATGCGACCTCCCCAGAACTCGTCACCAGGCCCCATCTAAATGACACAAGGGCAATTTGGAAGACACGGGAGACAAGGCCGGAGACAAGGGAAAACAAAACGAGATGATAGAGATTCATTCGCCTTTCTCTTCTGTATCAATTTGCTTAACTTTAGAGAACTGATACGAAATTCTCTCGCGTGGTTATCAGTCCATCCAATTACCAGTGCCATCCTTCTTGAAAAAGTACTTACGTCATTAATAACGAGCATAGGTGCGCGATCGCTTAGTATTTCTTCGTGAGAAAATTGGCCGCCATATTGGATTTTAAAAGTAGAAGAGGATTTGGAAGAGAGATGAATTTCTATTGAAGGAGTTGACGATGGGCGAGGAAGGTATGCTCATCGCCTCCTCTCCCTGTCTACTGTTACCCAAATCATACACGGCGTCTCGCTGTACGATCGCGAGCGTGTAACATTCTGACTCTGGCGCTCCCTTTGGGACGCCAGCTCGATAGGCTAGGGCGTGAACACATTTCATAGATAACGACTAGTCAGGTAAACTAAACCACGAACTAATGTCAAATGAGCATCTGGGCGTAAGTTGAGGGTTATACCTTTTTACTTATGTGTAGTTTCTAAGAACGTGCCTAAGCATTCCAACTATTACTTCATTCATTGACTATTGCCGCTGTTTGGCAAGGGAGCCAGGCCTTAAGAAGATTAAAGGGGAAAGCAGCGGAAATTCAGCTTATAAAATCCTCTTGAACTCTTGAATCTGGAGTTACACGATAACGATAAAGACGTTTTAAGTCTAGTCATGGTGACAGGAAATAGAAACTTAACTGGTGAACACGCTATTCTAAGGTGTAAACATTGGTAAAGAGAAGATCGATGTAAAAAAAAAAAAAAAAAAAAATTGAACAAAGCTTCTGGCGATTGGTGAAACAAATTATTCACACATCTCCAGTTAGCACATGCAGAAATGAATGTAGACGATATATTTTCAATGACTGACACAGTAAGCTAGGAATTTCAAGGGATCGAAACTCACCACAAGAAAATTAACTCCCATCCAAAGCTGTTATCATTGATTTTTCTTTTGCAAGACTTCACAGTTTTGTGATCTCTATGAGAGTGTGAATGGAAATGGTTGACACCAGCCATGAAATAACCTCCTTTCCCAAAATGTAGCAGACCCCAGCTCATATTTAAGTTATTCCCTTTCGTCGTGTTAAATTTATATTCTTCCGTTTAAATGCCACTGTAGGGGTGGTTTCATAAATACAATTGTAACCCGCGCGTGTAAAATCAATTTCGCTCCCAACATGTGACTTTGCACCCAACTGGCATCTCAGTGACATGATTTTAATTTCCATCGAGGACTGACGCTTCAATTTCTGCACGCTTTTTTGCCATTTTTGCCAAAAGAATCATATTTTCTCTCTCCAACATTTTGCAGCTATCAGTTTAAAAACGGAAATAATCACAAAATATTTCGGCTTTTCCTTATGGCGTTTCATTTTAAAAGTCAAGTTTCCTTATTGCAATCCAGCACGTTTCCTCTATTAAGATTTTCGTATCTAAACAAACCGTTGATCCACAAAAACAGATTGCTATGTCTGGTAATGAGATTAGTCACGAACAATAGTGGGAACATGATAGATTTCCTGTCAAGACAAGTTGTTTGTTTAAAGACGGTGTGTGGGGGGAAAATTCGGCTTGAAAGTGTCTTGTTTTGGTTCGGCTTAAACGTTTCTTGTTTTGGTTGGCTGAGTTTTGAAAGAAAATTAAAGATGGAGAGGTATTTCGATTAAGGTCAGATATTTATAGGCCTTTGTAGACATCTCTCTTTTTCGCGCTGTGGGATTCAAAAGCTCATCATTTTTCAGTGGCTGATGTGAAATTCAACTCTGAAATGAAATCTGAAAAAAAATTATCTCCTAGCCTGGTAATTTTGAATAAAAGAGATTGTTTTCAAGAGAGTGAAACAACACGTGATGTGAAATCGTAAGAATCAGCTGAGCACAGTTGATGTCATAGCTTTAATTTCTACGTTAAAAAAAAAATGACATTTTCGAGGCTCTTTCATATTGACAAATTTTTGATGTTTTTTAGACATTAGAATGCTCACTTATTTTGTATTTTTTTCCTTTTTTTTTACGTTTTTCCCTTTTTTTGTCCACGTATGCTACAATAGCTTACTATAGCCCAATTTTAACTCCTGCTTGAATCAATACTTACCTTACGTGACATCACGCTTCCAAATATCCAATCAGAATACACATTGCCATTTGTTCAAAGCCCGTTTTTTACTTTTAGCTTTTCTCCGAAAAAATCTCTTAAAGGTAAATATTTTCGGTATGTATTAAGAGACGTTTTTGGTCAACGGAATACGAGAATTTCCATTGTGATTTAAATACTTTAAGCAAAGGAATTTTTAAACGTTTTTCAATTTCTTCATCCTAAAGTTATTATGAGTAAGAAAGCAAACGTTTAAAAAAAGGCTTTCATGTTTTGATGGTTCTATGATCATATTGGAAATAAAATTACGATGTCTTTTGATCCCAAGACTCTTCTGAGGTTTGTTTGTAGATACTGCAGAAGTTTTAACACCTTTTAGCACTATAATTTCCTTAAATTCTAATTACAAGTTTGCTTTTAGATACAAGGATCTCACCGGAGCCGGGTTGTGTTTTGAACTTCGTTTAACATTTTGCAAATATTACAGAAATAAAGAATAATGGGACAAATTTATCCTGACTGCTGTAGTGAATATAAATATAGTGCTCTAACTTATGTAGACGTCGGTTCTCCAAACACATTCTTCCCCCGATGAAACCTAACAATATAAGACGAAATGGTTTGACTCGTAAGCTAACGTATGCAAAAGCGTTAACAAACAAATGTGTACTCCAAGGTAAAAGCGCTGCATGCGGTTGCGTTTTGATATGGGCCAAGTTTATTGTTGTTTACGCCCCTCGTTACCTTTTCGATCGGAAGCTGTCTCTGCTGAATACATACTGTCCTCCGCCTGCCTAAAGTTTAGTGAAGACTGGGATATAATTTGAAATTCGGTCCGTTTATATCATCTACATGACGTTTTTAAACAATTTAGACTCAGTAACTTCCATTCAGAGGATGCTGAAGAAGCACACTTTATCAAACTAAAAGTACCGAGGATATGACAGGTTATAAGATCAGTCATGGGTACAAAGGTTATACAAACAATTTTTTTTTTACTTTAGTAAACTAGTGCACAAAATAATCTCCCCTCTTGTGTAACTTCCGTCATTTTACTCAAAATTCATCCAATTTGAAACCATTCCACAAAAACACTGGGCCACCTGCAAACTCTGAGAGAAGCTCTCAAAATTTGACTCCTAAAATTCAGAGATGAACGCTGAGGACCAAGAACGACTTAGTACATTCTTCATGGCGGTTGAAAGTTGTTTTCAAATTCTCTTCTGTCTAGTTTACGATATCGAACAAGAAAAGCAACTTCTCGAATGAAACGCCATGGCTATGGGTTAGCGTATGTTATGACTGCTCAGCAAAACTAGCCTGTTAAGAGGTTCGTGAACCACCGGGTAGAGCGAACGTTGAATCCAATTTAGAACTGTTGTGGCTACTTTGTAACGTTTGCTATTCTTCTGTCCCAAATGACTAGCAAAAATATGATTAGTGGGTGTCTTATTGGCAAAAAAGCCCTCAAGTTCAAACGTGCAAACGGTACTCTGATGTTTTGGCTATCACTTTCAACGTGTGCAAGCGTACACCTACATAAACTATAAAAGCTGACTTCATTGCCATATTCGTCACTGCGACGGAAGTTGCTGCGAGCAAAGCCTTGCACTATGAATGCGTTTGTGGTGATTCTCCTTGCGCTTGGCGCAGTTTGTAAGTACAAACAAGTTTTATTACTTTTTTCCTTTATTATCTTTCTTCCAATTTTTCATCATGTTCAGAAAACCTTCCAGCACTTGCTCTTGATGAGCTGAATAAACTATTCTCGCATCAAAGGAGACCACAGTATAAAACATAAGAAAAAAGTAAAGCTATTTAGAGGTTCAAATTAACAGTGAAGAAGAATGAATCGTTGATGATGGTGAAGATTGACGCAGTTTGGCCGACAATTATTGGCCATTCTTCCAGCTCAAGATACGTAAATTGTCATGTACAGGTCACAGTAATTCTTTCAGTTTCCGTAACAGTATCACTTGTGACTCATTCATGTCTCTCTTTTTCTTCCCTTCTGTCTCTTTTAGCTTCAATGCCCATAGGTAAGAGAGAGAGTTCTGTGTTAATCGTACCTTATATTTATTTAAAATTGGTTAATACAAATAAGATAAAACGAACTTAGGTGGGTCGCATGCAAGGGTACTGATCTTGACTAGAACTTTGATTTAAATTTGGATGTGACATCACTCACTTCATTTCATTTGTATATTTACGTATGGGGTCATTTTTCAATCAGATTTTCTCTGAAATATTTCATGCTTTCGACAAGGTTTGTAACAAGCATGTAGCTTATTATTCTCTTTGGGGAAAAAAGTTGTAAATGTTTTAAAAATATTATCTGATTGTTTTCAAAACAGCGTCAGTTAGTTTCATTTGTCTTTGATGCAGGAGGTAGAGAGTTTTCTCCCATACAACAAAAAAAATTCATCCAGTTTGCTCCTGTATTAGCCCATGCCACTTAGGTAAAATACTTTTGATTGAAGATGGTTTATTTTTGAGGGGCTAAAACGAACTGAAAGCAGTTACAATGGTTTTCAGAGGGAGCCAATTAAAACTTGAGAGCAAATTTCACTTGACCGGCTACAAGCTATGGAAAACGAATGTGTCCAAGTCGCGTATTTTTTTGCATCTGATTAGTTGGGCTGCATGAAGCAAACCTGACGGGTGAGATCAGTCACAAAGCATTAGCGAAGCAAAACCAACTCAATATAAAAATATGTCGAGAAACCTTCATTTGATAGCTTTGTATCTTCTTCAGCTTTCGAAAAGGGAAAGCGTTACACTTACAACTACCAAACTGATGTATACCATGCCATACCCGGCGGATCAACGAAGACCCTCGGACTCAGAGCGAGGTGTCAGGCTCATGTGGATGTGCTGAAGAAAACCGAGCTTCAACTAACCGTGAGAGATTTTTTCCTAATATCACTTTGCATAGAAAAAAAAATTAAGTTTGAACTGAAGTTTCGCTTCTCTTTGATCCACATTGGCTGTTTTCACGACAAATCAAAGATTTTATTTTCAGCATTTCATAGAACATAGGTTAAAAGTCCCAACTGATTTAGCACAAGTATATTTTTTTATCTGTGTTTTGTCTGCCTTTAGTGATTTATAACTGAAATTCATAATATAAATTGACTTAAGACACGCCTTTCGGAGGATAAGGTTATTAAGAAGGGACTACCTGAACAGGGTAAATTCATTGCAAACGGGTCCATTAAAATCAACTATGGATGAGGTATTTGAGGGGTCAAATGATGGACGGAAGGCTACAACACTTACCTTATTGTGGTCTCCTCAGTTGGCAAACATTCAAGTTGCAGAAGTGGAAGGAAACCTTCAGGGCCCAAAACAACAACACGAGACAGCAGCTGACCCCAAGATCGTGAAAAAAATGCAAGATTTCCTCGCCCTACCCGTGAGACTTGCATTTAAGTCACAAGATGGCAGTATCAAACAAGTCTATGCCGATCCTCAGGACCAGGAATGGTCGCTGAACATTAAACGTGGGCTCGCAAACCTTTTCCAGGTGTCACCGCGACAACAACGTAAATCACAACAAGAGAAAAATGGCAAACGATTTGTTACTCAACTTGAGGTTAGAAGTTAGTTATAACTTATATCAACGCTTTTTTTCTGTGATCTGACCACCTATCTGATCTTCTATTCCTTTTCATCTATGCGAGTTTAAAGGGTCAAGTTTCGTATCAAAGTATGAATAAATAAGGTAAAGATATGCTACAAAATAATGATCATGATTGTCTATATGCTTTGTCAATGTACCTCTCCAGTTTGACATATCCATATTTCGAGTAAGGAAGAAACAGCAACAAAGGTCACAAAATTTTTTTGAGAATGATTTTCTGAAAATCACCGCTCATCAACTTGGAAAACAACTTGGAAAACAAGAATGACAGTTATACAAGATCCCGTAGCGACATGTTTCTGAGATTGTGGCAAACTTGGTTAGAAGAAAAACGTTCTCTACTATCTGGTTCGCCAGTAAATTTGTTAGGCGAAAAATCTCTCACCTCTTTCTCCTGTCTTTAGACCACTGCAGTCGGTTATTGCCAGGTCTCTTACGTAATTCAATGTGAAAATTGCCAAGCGGGACAGAAGGAGCAAGTAACAAAGGTTACCAAAGTCATCAACTACAATAAATGCCGACACCGACCGGAATTTAGTCAGAGTAATTTTTATGGAAGACAATGCGACGGATGCCGACGGGTAAGAGACTCATACTCGGTTGAGACGTTTCCTATCAAAAGTACCCTCTTAGAAAATTAGGCTTTTCAATTGAAAAACATATTTCTTTACCTTTGCGAATTATCTAAGGGGGGAAAGGTTGCGATATTTAAAGTTGTCTTCCGGAATCGTTGAAGATTGTCGTTGTGGAGAGGTGCCTTAATACGTCAGGGTAAGTGGACACCAAATGGGCGAAGAATATTCCAAAAGGAATTAAGGATGGCGAAGGACGAAGAAGATTTAAAATAATAAAGTTAAACAGTTATGGTGCTATACGAAGGAGTGACTGAAAATCATGAAAGTTGAGAGGAGTAATAATGGATTGGTCAATGATTTGCCACTCCCGCTCCTGTGATACTTTTGTAGAGAATTATGCCATCCAGAAATGGCACACCTTAACAGAAGAAGGCCTCATACTATGTTGATATTTCTTTCCTTGCAGAGCTTGGGTAATGTGCCATACCACCAGTCAGCTGGTCAGATCGAACTTATCCTGAGTGGAAATGAGAAAGACGGTTACACCATCAAAAGAGCTGAAGCTATAGAGCAACATGTAGTCACACCATTCAGTCAAGCCGGAGGACAGCTGACTGCCTCAGCAAGGTACAGTCCCAGTAACGATATCCATCACAGTGTTGAAACTACATTTCATCATAGAAAATCACTTGAGCTTAAAGAAGACCTTACTAACAATTTTTGGTCGAGGAAGGCTTGGAATTGAAGAACATTAATAATAAAGTATGAGTAAGTATGCAACCGCATCGTTGTTGCAGGATATATGTTGGCTGAGTTGCTCTTGCCTTATTTTATATATTAGTGAAAAGGTGTAGTTTAAACTGATTTTAGTCTGGGTTTGTGCAGGTTTAAAAATTGTTCTTCAGAGATCCATTAGATCTTGTTCAATATTTCAAACTTCAATGTTTTCACTACTGACAATGGCATTAAATTTTTTTCTTGCAAACAGACAACGTTTGGGGTTAAATAAAATATCTGACGCTGGACAGGCATGTGAGTATTAGGACAATTCGCATCCTTCTTTCACTAAATGATCACTCGCTGTCGAGAAAATAAAAATTGAGATTTAAGGAAATCTTCACCTGGGATTACTATTTGATTTCACGCTCAGTTCTCAGAAACAATATTGGGATGAACATTGATTCAATTCATGGCAAAACGGCGAAGTAAGAAGCGAGTTAGTCATTTTGTTCTGTGTCTTTTTACCTTGTGTAGTGCAAACTACCCTCCCTTTTTAGGAGATTGCAGAACATTAGCTTTATAGGATAGAGAGACTCAAAAGATCATAGAGGAAACAAAAAATGGTAATGATGGAAGAGACTGAAAGGGATTGAAAGTTACGAATTTGAAAAGTGGGCTCAATTTTGCCAGGAAACACAAACTGTGATTTAGCTCCGTTTTTTTTTTCTTTGCTCCAAGCAGCTGAAAAACTTACCAGGACTATAAGCCATCGATTTGCTGTTGAGAATCCCGAGCGACGAGCCCGCGGGAACGCTAAATGTCAGCAGGAAACTGCTAGACAGGTAACACTCGTGTCAGTTAGTAGTACTCCTTCGCTTTTCACATCGAATTTAACCCCTTTTAAACCAATCAAAAGTTGGAAAAGCTCAAATTTTTTCTGGTGAAAAGATCTTCGATGTGCAACCAAGTATCTTTTATTTGGCACGCACCGCGCTGTAGAGGATTTCTGTGAGACCAGAGGTTGGTAAAAGACAACTCCACAAACATGAAACACAAGTCTGAATTTGATTGTCCCGGTGGTGTTCGGATGCATGAATGTGTATGGGCAACCAAAGCATTATTTTAAAAGAGTTTCAGTCAGCTCGACATAATTACCTGATGATTTTTTTTTAATAATTCTCAAGTAGACGTAACATACCATAACATACTCGCTTGCAGGCGAAAAATGCTGCCGACGAAATGTGCAAAGCCATCAAACAGAGGGACGGAGCAGCTGAGATGTTTGCTAACTTGGTACAGCAGCTGAAAAAGTGCAACCAAGACACAGCCGAGAAACTTGCTGATAACATGTTAGCCCGGCAAGACGCATCTGAGAGGTAAATTGATTAATATACTTATGTGTTTTATTGGGATACCTTATCAAGAGTTCAGACTTAATAACAAAGACTTACCCAACTTTAGCTTCAAAACCAATATAGAAAGAATAAGAGACATTGTAAGTTTTGAGCTCGGTAAAGAAATGGAGAAAGATGCTTTTCTTCTAGACGAAAAACATCGACACTGCTGATCCTAGTTATATGTAGGACGCGGGTCATATGAACTTCGTAATAGACCTCGCTCACTGTAGAGTCTCAGTGGTAGATCATCGGAGCGCGGAATCTGAAGGTCTGAGGTTCGATTTCTCATGGGGACTCAGAATTTTTTCTTTATCCCACGCTCGTGACAAGACAAAAAGCATCTTTCAATAAGATGGTTTGAAAATTTGGAATTTCAATCTTCCTTTATCTACAGTCTTTTATAACATCAATTTTTAAGGTTTAACGTTTGGAAAATTTGTTTATTAGAAAATATTGCATTGATGCTCTCTCCTCTGTGGGAACCCGTGAGGCTTTTCAAGTTCTAAAGAAAAAGATCCAAGAGAAGAAAATCAATAAGGCAGAAGAACTCAAACAAGTGTTCTTGGGAATGTCATCTGCTCCACGACCCTCCGCTGACCACATCAGAGTTACCTGGGTAAGACTACAGCTCATAAGTATGACACAACCTTCACAGAACAAATTATGGCGATCGATTTACTGCTATAAATTGCGGCTTTATTTTGTCACGTCTTCAAGGACGAAGTTATGGTGTTTCAAAAATATTTTAATTCCCTGTCCATTGATAGTCTGTAGCGATTTTTTTTAACTCAAAGATCAGAATAAGAAGATCGTCTTTTTGGCTGTTTTAGGAACTGTGCGAGCACGCTGAAGTTAAAAAGGATATGTCAGCTCGTCGTCAGTGCATGCTCACATTCGGGGCCTTGCTACGTAAGATACGTCAAAGACCCAGTCTCCAACAGGACACCAAAACTAAGGCTGCTTGTGAGGAGTATACAAAGGTAATGCAATCTTGGCCTAGGTGTCATGCTATAACATGTCCTTCCCCTGTCAATAGTGGACTTCAATATTAATGATTGTTGATCGAAAAATGGGCACTTTTAGAGAGAGATTATTTGATTTGCCACATGATGCTACATTTGCCACATGATACTAAGGAAATTTCAACTGTAATAAACCTCTAAGCAACCGAACCAAGCCATAACTTTCCTGCATTCATAATTTTGTCCATCTATACCAGCATATGATCTCCATGCAACAAAATTGTTAGCTTCAGCAACAACCATCTCAAAGATATCACAGTTGTGTTTAAAACCGGAGATAATTGCTGTTCTTTCAACCGTTACTTTATCTAAACAGAAGATACTAGATCGTCTTGCTGGTAAAACGACCGAACAAGAGAAAGTAATGTATATCAAAGCTATTGGAAACTCAGCGAGCCTTCAAGCACAACCAGCCCTGCAAAAGATTCTTAAGGACCGTGATGAGCCCCTCTACATCAGGGTGGAATGTGTTTGGGCTCATAGGCACATCATCCGTCAGGCCAGGCAAACTGTAAGTAATATGGGTCCTTAGGATTACACAATTTAGAAAAACAAAAAGTGTTGCCACGATACTTTTCGTCGGCCATATTGGACCGGTTTTGCAACAAAAAGTGAGGTGGTAAAGCACGCTATTTTGACCATGATTGAGGACGTGAGTACAGCACCGAAGACGCCTAGAGGGAGTGATTTGCCATAGCAATTCGATATGAAGGGAAATGATGTCACCTCAGATGAAAAAATGTTTTTTTTTCTCAATTATCTATGTTCCTAATGTGAGTACATACACTTTCTTTTGGCAACACTGTAACAAAAACCCATTCTCTTGGCGTCTTTGGGAAGACGAAAAATCTTTGAGACAGCTATGTGCTAATGTATTTTTGCAGTCAAATGGACAACTTATAACGGCTGATTTTACTTTGAAACCCTTGGTTTTTATTCTAGGCTACTCCATCGCTGATTTCTACCTTTGCTGATGCGAGAGAAAGCCCTGAACTGCGCATGGCCGCTTTCATTTTGATGCTGAACTCAGGACCTAACTTTGCAACGCTGCAGGCTCTCGCCAATATCGTGAAAAGGGAGATCACTAATGCTGCCCCATGCCCTCGCAGCAACCAAGTAGCATCATTTGTTAGAGCTCATCTAGCAGCTTTGGCCTATCAGAACAATGTCTTGACAAAGCGAAGGTACTGAGTCACTTTTTACATAAAAATATTTTGAAAAGCAACAAGCTAAAAGACGAAAACAATAGGGGTTGAGCACTTGAGCTCGTCTGGCAAGCACCTGATGAAACAGTCTATAACGAGATTTTTTTGAATGCGGTAACTTAGAACGAGAACATTATTCATAGCTCGTCTATCAAATTTCCATTTTTTAAGGAAAAAAGCAAAACTCGATCTGCGTCTTTGAAATTTTAGGTAAACTAAAACTAAACTTGGGTTGAAAATAATTAGGAACATTTCCTTCAAGGGCGACCGACAAAAGATACTTTAAACGTTGTTTGCCCTTAACAGAAAAAGTGTTGTGACGATTTGCAAATTCTGCTCAGGGTAAAGTATGAAGAATTGATAACAATATTTCTTTAGAGCAGTTCGAAGATTGTCCAAGATTGTTAATCAGTCCAGCCTTCCAAAATTTTAACGAAATGGATACGCAACTAGGAATTAAGCTTACTCATCCAGCCGTGATGAGAAATATTTAAAGATTCCGCCCTTCGCTTTTTTTTATTATAGCAGACGGTTAAAAAATTGACGTCAAATTGTTCTCTCGAAATATGCGCAGTCTGTAAGAACCGCTTATTATAATTTCAGGTGTATGCAGGCTCGCTTGGCTCTACGTCTCATGCCAAAGATGCGTTTTGGTCTTGAATACTCTAAAGGAATTCGATGGGCACAATATTCAGGTAAGGTAACAAGGGCAACGAAAACTGAACATGCGTTTGATTCAGACAAAGACCTAATCAGTTGACGGGTGGGATTTGGTACAGACCTGAGACCGCTGAATTTAAAAGTGCTATCTTTGAGTCATATAGTTCGTACTTCCTAAAAAATCTAAAATAAATTTTTCATTATCGTCGGTAATCTACGCTATTCACCTACATCCTTAATCATTCGCCTTTCGTTTTCTCTGTCGATGCTCCTCAGTGTCTGTCTACTCGGCGACTGAAAATGTTGCGATTACCATCTCCTCGAATAGCGATGTATCCGTCGATTTATCGTTTTGAGGTGTCCATAAAATGCGCGATGTATCAGGTTTCCATGTCGATAGGCTTTTTGATTTGAAATAATCCCGGTTCTCGTCCTTCATCTTTAAAAACAGAGAAATTCCAAGCAGGATTCGAGTTGGAGGCAAACAAAATGAATGTTCCTGACAGCATGCTGCCACGAAACCTCAACACACAGATCCGACTACACGTGTTAGGATACCAAATTAGTGCGTTAGAGGTAACTCCTGTCATAATTATACGTCAATTACGCCGTATCGACCTCATTATTGTCCTATTAGCCCTTAGGTCATGACTGCACAATGTCTTGGTAACGGACTTCATCATGCAGCATCATAGTATCAAATGTATTGACGTTCTGGTAGCTCATCAACCTTCTCCGAATTGTTTCAATAACGAACTGCTAAAAAGCTGAACTGAAGAAACATATGCTAAGCCCTCTTTCTTTCGATAGAGAAACCCTTTGCACCACACTCCACTTCACAAAATTTTGGTGCTCTGTAGCTGTCAGTGACATGGTTACACATCAGGGTCTCATCATGCACGTCAAAGCCTTAACTGAACACTCCTATGTATTCAGAATTAGCTTGGGAATGTCCCATTTTTTTTATTTGGTGCCGCAAAAAAACGGTAAATCATAACGAAAATTTACTTAACTTACAGGTTTAGTGTAGTTTATCGTCTAGAAAGATATGGAGTTTTCTAGACCATTAAAGAACTTGAAAAAAAATCCTAGATTACTTTTAAAACTAAATTGAAAATTTCAGCAAGTTATCAAAGTGAATACCTTCTGATTAATTTTTTATTTCTTCTTCGCGAAGTTTGGCGCTCGAATCGAAAACATGGACGGCGTTATTGAGCAGGTAATTTCCGAAGTTCGAAAACGTCACAAACGATCTCTGTGGGGAAGAATCAGCTCCTTGTTCGAAAATGAGAGCTCGGAAGATGATAATTCAGGGGAAGACAGTTCTGAATATGGATTATCAGGAGACATGATATCAGAAGACAACTCAACAATAATTCGTCCTGCTACTCGTCCTAGTTCACAGCCAACAAAAACTCCCAGTCACGACCAAAAGGTAACTAAACCTGACCATGTTTATCTCTCTCACTCCCAATAGAGAGTGTATAAATTATCATTGCAATTTCAAGACACAAAAACAGACTGTAAATGACAATTCACTATTCAAGTAAGTGATATTGCCTCGGTAGGTCAACATAATCTCCGCGCGATCCATCACGCTAGAATTGTGCTGGGAAAGTAAGCTTATAACCTTTCAGATCGTAGAAATGAAAGGGCTAAATGCCACACTATTTGAAGTAAAACAGATTTGGCTTTGTTCAATTAAGCCAGAAAAGGAAATTTTTGTTTTGAATATGAGGTAATGTACATTCAACACAAAATATGAAGCATGCGGCACCGAGTGTTTTTCCCGCTCTACAACTCTCTTAAGCCACTCACTCATTCATGAAAATTTCAAAGAAACAAAACGGCCCTTCTCTGTCAGCTAATTGAGGAAAGTAGTTTGGTTTTGCCACGGGTATAGATTTAGGTCTCTCACCTAGATTCCCTGACTCTGTTAACGTCTCGAAAACTGAAATTACATTACTTATTTCAGATGTGGCACTTACATCAGAGAAAAAAAAATTGAAAGAAGGCAAATCAAATTGAAATGAAACTTGCTAAATAGACAGTTGATATCATTTATAGAATCGTCAACAAGTCTCAGTTTTCATGAAGTTGTTTGGAGACGAGGTGAAGTACATGGAAATCAGGCAAGAAGATATCAAACAGTTTTCACAAGATGTCGCAGACCTTTTGCTGGGAAAGAAAGATCGAATTGAATACGCTGACAAAAGTGAGTTAAAAATAAATAACAGTTATAATCATCATTATTCATTGGTCAAATTTTCTCACTTTTAATTAGCTGCGACCAAAAAATTTGCACTATCATTATTTTCAGAAGACCATAACTTCAGAAATGTAGAGGCGTCAAATATCAATTAAAATTGCTTCCTTTGAGTTTTTTTTTCACCAAAATGACCTTAGTAGTCTCTTTAAGCTGAACACAGTTTTACAAGCGCGAAGATGTTTTGGTATAGTTCATCAAGTTTTCATTTGTTTTCATTTCACAGCAATCGTGGTCACATCGAAAGGAATTGAAATGAAGCAATCTCTTGAAAAAGCCTTCCTAGCCAACAGTGCGCGCCGTGTGGTGCCAACATTAGCAGGAATCTCACTTGACTTCCAACACCGAACTGCAGCGGTCGCCAAGGTTACCGTTGCCGCCAACATTAACGTTGAGCCATCCATCGGCCGTTTACCACAGCTCCAGGCATTTACTGCTACCACAGAGATAAAACCAATGTACTGAATACAATTTCGTTGTCATGTCACGGCTGTTTTATTTTGCGACCTCTTCTTTAATTTTTGGTCACAATTCTTTTTTGCAGCATTGACGCCCATGAACAAGCACAAGTCGGTATCCACACTCCTTTCCTGCGCATGGGAGTGCGAATGAAAGCTGCTGCGCATTCTGACACAGAACATAAGGCTAATGCTAATTATGCAGCCGGTCAAGGGTACTCAATGACTTACCACGTGCCTCAGGAACAACGTGACATCTTGAATATACAGTAAGTGTGGAGCCTTGAGATCACGGGAAAGACAGGACATAGCAGAAAGTGAACAGACAATTGTGGGGTAACAAGGAAGAACTTTTTAGCGCTCAATAGCCCCCTATACCTTTCCATGAATTAAGTTCTGTCGCTTAAAATCAATTAAATATTTATTTTGAATTCTCCATTTTTTGTTATAACCGCAATGCATGATCAATGCAAAGTTGTGAAGGTAATATTTTCAGTATAAAATGATAAGAATGCACATTTTCAATATTTTCTTGATGGACAATGAAGTCGATGGAACGCCGTGCTTTGTGGTTAAAAGTATCAGAATAAGTTGGAGTGTAAAATACACAAAATACTTAAAGAATAACATTGCACCACATCGGACTCGTTTCGAAACAAATTTTATCCCCTTTCACAAGTATCACTACACTTTCAATCAAAAATTTTTTGAAAATGAAGCAATTTATCGGCTGAGATATATTTGTTTTGATGCAAAACCACGTTCTTCCGATTAGCAAGGACAATTATATGGTAACCACTACGACTGATTTAATTTTCAGGTCAGATGCATATGGATTTGTGGCGAAAAAACATCCAGAGAGCTGTCGGAAAGAGGAGAAGCAATTTCGTTTTGATTTTAAGACGCCACATCTTAAACAGGTAAAAAATAGTTGCAGCTCGATTGTTGAGGGCTTACAGAGTCAGGATGGAAAATTCAACACAATGTCAAGTATGCCAATGCGAACTTCAAGCGCGGGAAACCACGCGGGCCGCTAGTTTTAGTCTTTTCCTGATTGGCTGAGAGTGCAAGATCTCTGGACCAATTCCAGTGCACAAGGAAGCAAACCCAATGCAATTCGAGATTACTTTAAATACAACAAAAGGATTATTTTGCTGGAGATGTTTTCACTGTTTGGCGTGGAGTTAGCCAGTAAAAGCTTTCTTTCTCTCATGTTTAGATACACTGAGAGGGAAGGTCTATATCTAGATTGGGTAGTCCATTCTATTCCATTGTTTAATTAGCACACGGCTTCTCATAGATTGAATAGAGAATAAAGGGAAGTTATCAATCTATATTTGACTACCGAGAAAACGAAGATGATTTGTGATCAAACTCAAGGGTTGTCAGAATGTACAGTTAATGTGAGTGAAAATATATGAAATTCGTATCATGGGCGCAGGAAAAAGAAGTAATGCATTCAATTTCTTTACGTTTCTCTCTTTCAGGTTCAGAAGACTTGCAAAGGACAAGATTTGTTTGGAGTTCAGATTTGCGCTGAAGGGCGAGTCCCAGATCTTCCCTCTTTGAGGCTTCAACAAGTTCCAGTCCTCCCAACAGCTGCGCTGACTCAGCTTCGCGTTTCCATGGCACCAGCCGTAGACAAACCAACCGCTGTACAGTTCACGGGTCTGGTCACCCCAAAAAGTGAAAAAGGTAATTTACCGAAAAAAAATGACAGTAGTCTGAATTTTTCGTCAGGAATTCATACAGGAAATCATTACGCATTGATTCTGTGATAATTTTATTGCTGGCTTTTTTATCTCCTAATGTCACGGTCCAGGAGGATGTCCTGGTCTCAAATTTAGTGTGCAGGATCTGAAGCTAGAGCTTCTAGATCAAACCCAAGCCAGCATCACTCTATTGTAATTTTTGAGTGGGACATTTTGGTCTCGCAAAGGTTCTCTCCATCTACGAGTGTAATGGTTATAAGTAAATTTCCAAGTAAAGCTTAAGTACACAACAATGGGGGTTAGCCTGCGGTGGACAACCATCTCCTTCTAGGTGGATGACTAATTTTCCAATGCAAATGAACTTTGGCGTCAAAGAGAAGGTCGCTTTTTGTTGAGGTCGGCCTGCTAATCATCCGTGAAATTATGTACTCAGAAAGGATGAGCAATGTAATGATAATCAATTTAATTTACTTTAAAGTCCCTGCAGCATGGCGAGTTGAAGGTTTCATCGATGCTTCCTCGAAAACCGCCCGTCGTCGAATCCCTTACAGGATGACCCTCGACAAAGCAACATACCAGATGATGATCCATGTAGGAAATATCCAGGCCAAAGGATATGAAGATGGAATGGCAAAAATTACCGTAGGTCGCAGGGAAATGAAACTAGAATTTGGAAGACAAAAACTTCGATATCAGGTTTCCGCATCTTGGCAGGTTCAAGATCAAGGAAAAACTGCGCGCCTGATGCTGCAGTGGACAGAAGTAAGCACGAATTCTTTGGTTCCCGGAGAAGATTAACACTTAGCTCATTTTTTTAATTGCTTCTCAAGATTTATTAACTGAGTATTCTTTCCATGATTTTTAGGTTCCACAGCAGTGGAAGACCTTCTTCTACAACTGGGAGCCACAGTTATGGTATTTCCTTCAACAGTTTGCTTGGGTCAGGCGTCCAGAACAATCCAAAAACCAAGTAGAAGTTGAATTTTTTCTTACTTCGCCCATGACTGCTTCGCTGAGGATGAGAACTCCAGACGCTACTGCTGAGAGAACTGGCCTTAGCCTACCAGTGAGAGTGGATCGTTTCCCATCCTCTTTACAAGAAATCAAGAACTACTTCTATGGTGAGATCATCATTTAAGATTGAGGGTTTTCGTGTTTTAATAGTTCTATTAGAGAGAGAATATCTTATTTTAAATCTTTGTGAATCAGATTTTTAAACAGAGGTTAAGACGACTAGTAGTCTCAGCAAAATATGTATACCTTGGTGAAAACAAAGCCAGCAATTGACTTCGAGACCATTTATCGTTGCTTTGGGCACGGGAAAGGATGGGTGTGTAGCTTTCTGTTGAGATAAGGTTGAGCTTCCCTGAAGACATTTTGAAGCTTTTTTCTTTAATGAAAGTTGTGATGAATAAAAAACAGACAAATAAGTTGCACGATAACCATGGACAACCATTACCACAATGACAACGGTAAATGTTATTACATTCCATTCGAACTTTATCTCCTAGTCTTGGCTGAAAACCTACAAGTAACGAGTCATTATTGTTCATCTCGACGTTTTATATTTTATCTTTTAGCCAAGTGTGAGGTCCAAAAAGACAGCATTAGAGTGTTTGACCAACTTCAGTACAAGTACAACATCAAGGGCGGTTGTCCTTATACTCTTGCTAAGGAACATAGGAAAGACAAGCAACCTAGAATTCAGGTAAGATTGGGTTTGTAGAAAAACAAAGGAAGAGAAAAAACACCTCAGGCCTATTTGATAATATTATCCGGTGTCTAGACCAATTTATAATAAATAAAATACCCTCGGATGCTCCGGCATCATGCCATCTTGGTGTTCTAAGCTTTTGGGTATTGTATGAAGTGGGCTAAGCGTGTAAGGAAAGGCTCAAGTTTTCAGATATACTTTAGCTAACTGAAGATATTTTAGTATTTACAATTTTCAACTCTCGCATTTTATGTCAACATATTTTACCATTTCACGTCGTAACTTCGCATTTGTGGAATTCACAGTATATTCCCTACCCTGACGAGATTCAATGTTTCCCTTCCGTGGGTAACCAATATATCCCTTTTTTTTTGCCTCATGGGAGTAGAGGGGCTAGGTGGATAGCCTGGCTTACGTTCGACTCAAACTGTTCGTATCAAAATTTATTCCAAAATTAATCGATGACTCTACTCTTCTGGCCCATCAGGTCTCTGTGAAAATTGACGAACAAGGTCAAAAGACCCTGATAGCAATTATCCGCCAGTCATCTCAACAACAAGACCAGGAATCAGTTGTAGTTAAACCAGACGGCACCACTATGATTGACGGCCAGAAACTCGATTGTTCTCAGAAGGCATGTAAATCAAAACTGGGTGGGGCTTCTGTCCGTAAGACACAGAGGGCCGATGGAAAGACTCAGGTTGAGCTGTTGACAAAGGTAGGAGGTATTCCTTACCAAATAATGCAGATGATTTGAGCCGACGTTTCATAATTTCAGAAATAACAGTAGTGATCTTGTTTTTTGTCTCTATTTTAAAAATTGAGCGATTTTTTCACTCTTTTTTTGCCTTCAAGATAAATTTTGGTACAAATATTCATAATAGCATGTAACGATTATCAATTAGTGATATATATCACTATGATAGTAACAGGGATTTTATTCTATATTCACAAGGTGCTTATTCTTCTAAACGAGTAAGGGAACTACTGTTCTTGAATTTGATTTAATCTACAGAATTATGATATCGGGTAAACTTTAACAATGTTCCCACTGCTTGTGCCATTTCAGAAGAAGATTATTTTATAAGTGGGCGCGCTGAAGCAGATAGTCTTGGAAAGAAAGAAGAGCACAGTTTCCCTTAGCTTGAACAAATTTTAAGCAAACGCCGAACGAAACCACACAACAAATTTTGTTCGACCTTCTTCGTAATTAAAACACTTTTCCTATGTGAGTTACATAATATTATGCTGATTGTATCTCTGTGGTTTTGCAACTTCTCTTAGTTGGGTCTACACGCTACCATGGATCAAGATCAGCAGATCCGCCTGTACGCCTCGCCTTTTCTGCGCAGCCGTGTTCGTGGTTTGTGCGGTGACGCTGATGGTGAACAATGGAATGAGTACAGAGACCCCAAGGAAAAAGTGCAGCAGCTTGACCAGTTCATCAAGTCCTGGCAAGAAAAGTGCTGAAGGTGATGATAGCTCATTGTTTTTTTTGTTTTTTTGTTTTTTTCATTAAGCCGATTTGATAAATGGAAACGAAATTTAGAAATGGTACATCTGATAGCTTAGTAACGATTCCTCTAAAGCCCAGTCGCGATCGCAAAATCGGACGGGGTGTGGTTGTCAAAGGATGACGTAAATTTCTCTTCGTTGATGGCTTGTCACAAATGTTCAACATCTCTATTTAGGCATTTGTTTCTTTTCCACGATGGAAACTCAGAATCTGGGGAAACACTCTCATTCTTCCTGCCTTGGTGTTTCTTTCTGTACTTTAGTTTTGTTCAAAAGTTCTTGGAATAATACACCCACTATTGATTTTAAGAGTAACACTGGTTCAGTAAGCAAAACTAAACTCTATTTCCGAGGATAAGAACTCATTTGCTCTTTATTTCAATAATCCGTAAGCATGGATGATACATCGCAGCCTGAAAGCTAATTAAATATGTATAACCCACTCTACAATCCTGAAATTATAGGTGTATGTTGTGACGGTAAAATAAGGCAACATGCATGTATTGATTTGATAGAATCACGACAACAAAACACAAAATCTAGCAGATTTGCCCACCCCACTCCCCCCTTCTCTTAGTCAGGTAGTTCCAGCTTCCGAGGCGTTCAGGCCTTTTATGACAATACATCAAGAATCTAACTTTGATTTATCTGATTTCCTCGCAGAGACACTGAAGAACCAAAACCTAAAGACTCAGACCAACCTGAACGGAAACGGCTTCGCTTTTTTAATAATTTAATTTCTTCAATTTTTTTTTCGCTTAGTTGTAGTTTTAGATTTTAAATTTGTTTCATCAGGACTACAAACAGAACGTTAGGAAAAAAGGTTCTTTCTTTTTCATTAACTTCGTTTTTGGGATTCTATGTTTCGGTGATGGGTTATTTTAAATAAATTTAAAGCATACATTCCGGTGTTGTTTTGATCTTTCTCTTTATGTTCTTATTGAAGACTATGCACCTTTGATGTTTGGTGACCACACCTGGCAGAACCATGCTATAAACCATCTCCAATAGAGTCAAACGTTTGATCTGAGCGTGTCACGAAGGCAAATAGATAACACTGGAAAAATACTAAATGTCCTCGAATGATTAAGAACCCTATAACGAAATCCCAAGGCCTTTACCTTGGCTGGTTGAAACCATAGCCTAAGTCAGATTACATTTACACAAGAGGCCCAGTAATAAGAAATTCCTTGATGTTCACGATCGCACTAATTTAAGAATAAATTCTCTTCAGAAACACATCGCCCCCACCCCCTTACCCCACAGCAACAACTATACACTGGAGTTCAGTTCCCACTCTCGTTCCTATTTCCTTCAGGTGTGCCCCATTCCCCCTCAACTCTAAGCTCCCTCCTCTCCGCCTCCTCAAAAAATAGCAAACAAACAAAAAAACAAACATGCAAACCAACACAAAACGAAGTAAGTCCAAATTGAGAACTCATCAAAAAAAACCCGTAAAACAAATCATAAAAACATAAAATAACAAACAACTTAACAACAACAAAATACGTCCTTTCTCTTAAATTTAATAGAAGCTCTCCAAAGAAGTTCACTTACATCTCCGGTTATCTAGTAAGAGGTTAATAACATTAACTTGTCTCCCTTTGGATTCCACTTCCGGCCGAAAAAAAACATTGACCTCTGTTTACTGAGACCGTGAGCTAAAGGATAATAACACCCTGAACTAATCGGATAATACCCAACCTTTGTCATATATGAAACGAGACAGTAAATACGAGAATTCTACGGTTTCGTCGTTATTGAAACCCAACAAAAATATGGATGGACTTTTTACAGGCTCGTCACGTTAATTCGATATTGAACTCCGAAAGAAAAAAAATGCTTTTTCCGGCTTTAAAATAACTCTAAAAGGCGCAAACTCAAATCTTTTATCGAAGAATAGTGGCTAACACTGAGACAATTTTTCACTTAACGACTCAAATCCTCTTGGATTGTCGGCTAAATTCTGCATATCTTTTAAAACATACAATACGACTTCTTATCATCCAACTGCACAAAGTAGAGTACAATTAACGCGCGAATAAGGTACAAATATCGTGCGATATTGTACGGTTATTTGGACAGTTGGTTATTATGTAATGTAAAGCCTGTTTAACCAGTCGGCTGCGTGTGCTACGCTTCTCCATCCGCTTTGCTTTTCCCGCCTATGAGAAATGAACAGAAAGACTCAGCAGAAAAAAAAAAGCAGTTGCATAATAAATAACTTATTAGACGTTTTGATGCGTAGTATCGCCAATCATTTTTACTCGTTGTTTGCATTTTGACTCGCCCTACTGGCTCGTCGAAATACGGCACAACTGGAAAAAAAATAATCAGCCGTATCACTCACCAAAACGTCTACTGAGATATATTTATCCGCAGATAAAATCATTAACAACCAATAACATGTTGTAGTCATGCAGTAAATGACAGAAAGGGGGAGAGTCTCAGCGCTCGAATCGAGGCTGTTTAGAAGCAACGTGTCATGAACAACATCACCTCGTTTTGTTCGCTTTGTGTGTGATACAGAAAAATTGTTACAAAAGGCCTAAGTGTTGCTCACTCTGTTTTCGTTCTGCTTAAACACACTTGTGAAACCCAAACAGGTGAAAAAAATTGTCCTTAATTGCATCCTGGGTTTCCGTTTGGACGTGATCAAGCTATTAATATTACTGGCCTAAGATTCCCTCGTTGTTCTACTTAGCAGGATCATCCCTCAGGATGATAAAAGGTTTCCGAGAGGAAAGAAAAATGAAATTACCGTCGAGTTTTCAGTTTCATGTATAGCTCTTAAAAGCCCCTTCCTAATTGTGTCATTTTTTTGAAGAACCTTTTCCCTGCTCTTTCTTTGAAATAATCTAAATAAAGCGAATTTCTCTTGGATTGTTACGAAGAGCCAACATTCAAGTACTTTTCTATTCATTTTCTCAGCCTTCCGCCTGTTCATTAAAACAGACAATACACTTGTACTGGAGTGAAAATCAAAGAACAATAGCAAGCTGTTTCGTTGTAGTCATGTCCCATAAAACACAGTTAAGTGAGGGACAAGGAAGGATTTGCTCTGCTCAACACGCGGTCCAAATCAATATGCCAAACGCTACATCACCTTTTAGTGGTTTCGAATTTTTTTCAAAAAATCACACAAATATCACTTCTGGCGTTTATTCTGTGTTAGCAATAAGCGCTGCTTTGAATATCTTTACTTTTCCTCTCGCAATTTTACTGAATAGTCTGGTAATAGTTGCCGTAAAAACAAAGCGACGTCTGCGTAAAAAATCCAACATCTCGCTGGCTTGCTTGGCAACAACAGATTTTACTGTAGGACTGATTGTTCAACCGTTGGTCATAACCAATTTCAGCTTATTCTTCATAGGTGGCATCCCTCAAACCGTGACCTGTACTTTTGTTTGGGTATCCAGCGCTGTTGGCCAAACATGCACTGCGGCTTCGCTTCTCCACTTGTTGTTAATGAGCGGGGAACGTTATCTAGCGATCAAACACCCCTTCGCCTACGAAAATGGCCTTGTAACTGAAGCCCGTATTATTACTGCATCCGGTATGGCCTGGATATGCGCAGCGATTGTCTATGGCATCAAAATCAGCTTCCTTCCAGGAATAATAGTTGTTTTTATCTCAGCCGTAATATCCACTGTAGTTTATTGTCATGTTGTCATATACAAAGAAGTTCGTCGCAACACACAGCAAATCATCGCTAACCAAGTTTCTTTCGCAGTGAAGGAAAAGTTACTCAAGAATAAGAGAGCTTTTAACACAACTGTCGTGATAGTTTTGACACTTTTCCTTTGTTACATTCCGACTTGGATTTGGCTAATTCTTTTCATTTCCTTCAATGGAGAAAACTCCTCTGACGTAAGACAAGTCGCTTTCTTCCCTATTATTTTTCTACTAGCGCTAAATTCGTCGATAAACCCACTCATCTACACTGCAAGAATCAGACACTTTCGCGTAGCTTTCTTTCAGATGTTAACAAGAGAAACCCTTGCTCAAGCTGAGAAACTTGAAAAGAAGATGTTTGGAGCAAATCGTGTGGGAGTTGCATGAACTGATACACAAGAGGAGTGAGAAAATGAGAGCAATTAAGAAAATCAATGGAAGTTTATTAATCTCTCCATGGAAACGAAAGAAACAAAAAACTGTATAAAATCTTATACTGAAAAGCCTTTGCCAGAGGTCTCTATCCAGGGGCGTAGCCAGGACATTTCAAAGGAGGGGGGGAGGGTCACACTGAGTCAAATAGAGGGTACTCACCAGATTGTCATGTCGACCTTCATGCCGTGCTTAAAAAAGGTTTTCAAAGGGGCGGGGTTTGGTCACGGGCACCTCAGGACCCTCTCCCCCCAATCTACGTCCTTGCTTTCCACATGTGGGTTTATTCGTGTGAAAAATTAGGACTTCGGAGAGGTTGACTTATCATCGTCAGAATTTTTAAGAAAAATGCGAATAGACGTTTTTGCTCGACAAATCAATTATTTATTAAATATTTCTCAGCTTTCTCCAGAATGAAAATCATTGCCCACTGCTCTTGTTTCTAGGAGCAAAAGCCAACATCAAGACAACTTCCAACTTAATTATCTACGTAGATCATCTTAGATTGTCGAATATGCATTTAAAGATACAACTCAACGTTTTCGTCAAAGAAAAGAAATTCATAGGTATCGTAAGTCAAGTATGGTGAGTAATGTTACTTTTGTAAATATTGAAAAATGAAAATTATTCATTAAACAAAAGATCTTCCTCCAAAAAATAACCACCGTAACGAATTAAACAACTTCTCATGAAGCTACTTCTCGAGGGAAGTCAGTGGCTTGAAATCCTTTCGTTTCTAAGGTGACTACAATCAAACAATCACCCCAAGAAGCGAGCAGATTACAAGTGTATTGACGGTAAATATTGCAAGGGTGTCTCCCTAAAATTCATACTTGTTTGGAAATCACACCTTTAAGTAGATATGATGTGATGCAGGAAACCCACGGTAAACACGTCATATATGTCAAAGGTGAGTGCACGTTATTTGCACCCATTAAGAAATAAGATAGTGACAATTTTAATAATTGCAATGCTAAAGATGGTTAAACAACACCAACGAAAATACAAAACAAAACAAGAAAATAATCGGGCTTACTAACCAGAGGAGTCTTTGAAAGAGCGATCTGATCAGTTTGGCTTGAGACACAGATTTTACCTTTTTCTTGTGTGTTGCAAGACTAATTTCGTGTACTTATAACAAAACCACAGTCTGCCTGATCGGATCTCTTTAACTTCTCGAGTTTTACGGAAGTGAAAGTTCACTCAAGCGAACGGTAGTAATGGTGATTTATAAGGCCTTAATTTGACATAACTTTCAAACACAATTTAGAAAAAACCTATGAAACTCAGTTCCAAAAAAACCACTGAGGAGTATTTCATGTTTATCTTATTTATTGAGCTTACTCAGGAGACACTGAGTTTCAAACAAGTTATTGGGAAGGCTTAAAAAATCCAATATTGGTTCGCCATGGTCAAGTCAGCGAAAACCGACCAACTTCAAACTGAGTTTTTGAAAAAGTCAGACGCTCTAATCTAGTCAAACCGACATAGTTACGACGAGGGTGTCGTGAAGAGTTTAACAATCGAAAAACATTTTGCTTCCCGCCTTCATCAAAAATTTTTAACTCTATGAACTTTCCTAAAAAATTCGAACCCTCCAAAGCAAATCCTTACACCGAACGATTAGCCCAACACACAACCTGGAACTTTGGAAATGCAGAGACACTTGAGGCACTGGAGTATCGTGCCATTTCGTTTCCAATTTCATGCTTATTCACACAACTTCAGTGGCTAACGGTGAGAAATTTGCTGACGAATTTGATCTCTTACATTCCAAGAACGAAGGCCG